GGAGCGAGTGACGCTCTGTCTATGTATGTGATGATGATGAGTTCGTCAGTTGATAATTTAGTCAGCAGGAGCTAATTACTGACTATGTGATGTGATGGTCCGTTACGGTCCAATTTGGTCTGTTACGGTCTGTTTTGGTCCGTTCCGGTGTTTCTATGAACCGGTCTAAAAGTATGCCTTGACCATGGGTTTGGAATTTCAACATCTACCCTGTGAATAAACTATTGAACCAGTTTGCTCTGGGTGGTTTAAAAGTCTCTCTCTCTCTTACTGCCAATGATAGTTTCTCATTTTGGGTAGTCTAGCTGATTTACATGACTGGTGCAAAGAGGGATGGTGGGTGGAGCTATTAAATTTCTAGGGCAATATATGGAGTCTAAATAATAGAGCCAGAACAGATTACTGGGATCACTCAGCAGCAACTAAAATAAAGAGGAATTATGAGGCTAATGTTGGCATCACAGTATATTGCATTGGTGCTTCATGACACCAAAACCAGCATCTCCATAAAGAATGGGTTAACCACCGGGTGGTTTTCTGTTATAAAAGCCTTCTCTCCTGGGCTGTATTTATAGTGGCTTTGGCCCCACTGCTGGAGGATTGTGTGGGCACCATAGCGTCTGTACATGCCCCTGGAAAACGGGACTGGCGCACCATGGCATGTATGCACATGCCACCCGGAATATAGCCCAGGCTATGCCATGACATGTACATACCACCCGGTGGCAAAGGGTTAATCCATTAGTGCTGGGTAATTTCAATTCCACTATAGTTTTCCTTGGTGAATGGGTTAATGAAGATTACACATAACTAATAATCTTCCAATTAAGTTTAACTGGCAATAATCTGGACAATTTCAGACAACTTCTCATGTTAATGTTCACTAAAAAATATTATATCAACAGGTAATTCAATGCCTACTTGCACATGTGAAACATTTCTAATAGTTAATTTAGCTTAATGATTAAGTGAAAATTACACAAAATCTGCTTGCAGATGTATGCAACTATAGGCATTTATATAAAGTATCTTAAAAGAATCAGAAAGACTTAACAACTTGCTTCCCAAAAGTAGTTCCTTTTTATATATTTACTTCATTCACAAATAAAATAAAAGATATTATGGAAAAACAAATCCTTTATTGTTAAAACAAAATCATTTTGGATGTTTAGGAAAATCTCACTTTGTAAGAGTAAATCAGAAAAAGTCCAAGTGTAATTATAGAAAAATGATTCAATATTGTTAAAACTGACTCATTTTAGAGCTTGGAATAACTGATTTTGTAATCATGAGTGTGTAGTATAGAGAAAAAAATCAACTAATAACTTTGTAAAGGAAATTATTTTTTTAAGCATATTTATTTATTTATTTTTCATTTAATAAAAGCTGCATTGTGCACATCACACCGGCAACCAAAAATTCAGGCAACTAATCTAACACCAATGCTGTTTCTTCAGTAACATTCCATGACTGAATTTTACCCTTGGATACACTCACCATGTTAGATGATCGAACCTGCATCTGGAAGTGAATTTCCTCCACCTGTGTCATCCTATTAACCTGACTCTCATCTTCAACCACGCCAAGCTTGACAATTTCTGGAAATTAAATTATAATTAACAGCTGAAGAAATAACAAGCAAGTAGAGAGAAGAAAATGGATGAGCCTGACTTTCCTCATTAATTTGCTTCTTTACGGTAATACTTGAATATGTTAATAATTTATAACCATTTTATCAATCCTATTTCATTCCATGATGTGCCTTCCCTTTAAATCATAATAATAAATGGCATTAACATTATGTTTCTATTCCCTACCAGTGGGAAAAAACTTCAAGGCTGGTCTGAAAATGAATCTCTGTAGATAATAGCGATCAATGACTTATCATTTTCTTACTAATTTCATTGGGAGAATGTATGAGGAAATTACATCTACCGCAGTTGCACTCACGAGCACATTCTGGTAATAATATGTGTAACTACAGTCAGTTCCCAAAAGACACTTACACCTAACTCATTCAGCTAGTCAAGTTTTCCTGTAGTCTGTAATAACAATTAATTATATTTCAAATATGACCACCATACTCCAATAAGGAAAACAGGCCTTCGATAACAACAGTAATAATAAATCAAAGAAAAGTATCATACCCATGAAGTTATCAAGAATGGACTTGACATCATCCTTTAACCTCTTGTTGTAGGACTTGAGCAGGGCCTCTCTGCCTTGAGGCTGCTTCCCCTGCTGGGCCATTTTTGGCTGCATTGGACCCTTTGGAAGGAAATGTTCTGTTTATCCATACAGGACAAATCAAAGTGTTTTCATAGAAGAATTATTCAACGTGCACCTAGTTCTAGATGACCAGTCAGTCAATCTTAAAGATGATAAGAATGGATAATGCCAGACCGGAAATCTTTTTAAAGAGGGCTTTAAAAAGAAAATGGAAAATATAGTGATATTTTTTTCTACAATTGTATATGGAATTTCATCAAAACTTAACTTA